CCAACCAATCAATAAACCAATTAGCCAACCAGCCAACCAGCCAACCAACCAGCCAACCAGCCAACCAAACAAATTAATCAATCAATCAAGCACAGCTCAAATACAGATAAAAACGCGCATTGTGTGTTTGTGTGTGTGTTTGTAGTGTGTCTGTGTACAAAAATTTCACAAATCAGTTCGTACACATATATATGCATATACAAACATATAAACATGATATGATTTTTATCTGTCCATATATGAAACAACAACAATAACAATAGAATAATACAAATAAAAAATAATAATAATAACTTCAATAATAATAATAATAATAATAATAATAATAATAATAATAATAAAGGACTCGAGTTAAAATTGTAAGGAAAAAAATAAAAGAACTCTGTGAAAACTGCAGAGTGCAGGTGCAACTAAAATCTATGTTTTAATGTGTTGTGCATGTATGTATGTATGTATGTATGTATGTGTGTATGTATGTATGTATGTATGTATGTATGTATGTATGTATGTATGTATGTATGTATGTATGTATGTATGTATGTATGTGAGTTTGTGTCTGTGTGTGTGCACGTGTGTGTGTGTGTTTGTATGTATGTATGTATGTGTGTTTTTTTTTTGTACGTATACACATAATTTTTGTATGTATGTTTGTTCGTTTGTATGTTTGTGTGTTTGTTTGTGTGTTTGTATATGCAACAATACTTCTGACCATAACCCTCATTGATCAAAATACAATTGTGTAAAACAGCTGAAAAATTGAAAAAAAAAAACATCAACAACAACATCAACAACCACAACATCAACAACCACAACATCAACAACCACAACATCAACAACCACAACATCAACAACAACAACATCAACAACATCAACAACTACAACATCAACAACTACAACATCAACAACCACAACATCAACAACAACATCAACATCAACAACATCAACAACAACATCATCAACATCATCAACATCAACTTCAACAACAACAACATTAACATCAACGATGCTATGGCATGTCATGCCGCGATTGACAATTAGCCGAGCGGAGTTAAATTAAATGATAGCTAAGCTACACACACGCACATTCACACACACACACACATACAAACACACACACATACAAACATTCACCACACACACAGACACACATACATTCACACAAACGATTATAAATTTTCATTCACACACACAAACATACATTCACACATACACACACACACACACAAACATACATTCACACACATACACACACATATATGCAAACATACAAATACATAAACACACAAACACGCGCGTGGTAGGTTTCAGAAGAATGGAAAAAATAGGTTTAAATAAATGAATAAAACCGCTGATCAATGAACGAACGAAAAAATGCATAGACGAATGAATGAATGAATGAATGAATGAATGAATGAATGAATGAATGAATGAATCGAAGATTGAGCAACCGAAGAGGAAAAAATATCTTAACAAAAAATGAGCAACTTAATTTAAGATGAACACAAAATAAACATGCCAGCGTCCTTATATCCACACAAAAAACAAACACACACATACACATCCACACACACATACACATCCACACATACATACAAACACACATACAGACAGACTGATACACACACACACATACGTACATATAAACACACGCATACAAACATAAATTGGATAATTGCCTATATTGGTTTATTCATTTAGATGGGTCGTTATTTATACAAAAATAACGTCATATTCAATTGTTGTATATATATATATATATATATATATATATATATATATATATATATATATACAAACAAACATACATACATACAAACAAACAAACAAACAAACAAACAAACAAACAAACAAACAAACAAACAAACAAACAAACAAACATACATACATACATACATACAAAAGATACTATTGGCACATGTTTAAGCTTGTTTAAATGTGAAAATATATGAACATACAAATATATATATATATACACATACAAAAATACAATCATATACATATATATATCATTGTATCATTATATGAATATTTATATAAAGCTGCCACATATTTAAGAAATTACTTGAAGCCACATATAATATAAGTTTTTGTGTGTTCTTACATTATAATAATTGTTAAATATATATATATATATATATATATATATATATGTATGTGTGTGTGTGTGTGTGTGTGTGTGTGTGTAAATATAAAATTAAAATAATTTAAAAGAATATTTAAAATAATTAAAATTAATTATAGTTGTGAGAATCCAAAGGATTAACTAAAGAGAGAATTATTACAGCCAATAATAACTTTTATTACCGTTTTAAAACAATTATAACTAATAGAATCCAAAAAATAAAATTCATTTCTTGACAATTTACTGACGGCCTTAAAATGATTTAAAAACGTAATTTTAATAAAAAGTTAAAACCACAGCAGAAACACATAAGAACGATATTGTTGAATGATTTACTCTAAAAATTAAATTTCAACAAAACACCACGAACACACGCACACACACGCACGCACACACACACACTCACACACCACACACACACACACCACACATACACACAAATACATTCACGTGAAAAATGAAAAAACAGGGTTGTTAAGATCGGCGGCGATACAAATTCGATTCGGTATCGGCTTTGGCTTTTGATGAGAATGAAAAATCGCCACTCGATACCATAAGCCCGTCTGAGTGCCGAGTTTAACTGATGGTCATTTCAATTTTCAATGTTTTAGTGCGTCTTCTACGTGGTTATTTTTCGAGATTTTAAATGAAGTAAAGGTTCTTTTTTGCAGTTTCGTCTTAAAAACTTCCAACATGCCAGCAGACTCTAGCAATTTATCGATACGAGAGCATATGTTACATGCCACATGTTAACTATCCATACAAGTTTTGTACGGATCATATGCTATATGTTAACTAGCAAATGCATTGGCAAGTTTTGTACTTGCATGCTGTAACGGTTTCTGCGTCCGTCAGACCCTGATTTTTAAAGAATAAACAAATAAAAAAATTGCCATACTTTAGAAAAACTGAAAGACACATACGTTGGTGTAGCTACTGCATCTACAATCTTGCTACAAACAAATACAATACCATGATACTTGTAATCTATGTATATTGCACATCAATGGCTGAAAATAAAAACAAATGAATATGATGAATATGTATAAGGAAAGTAAAGAAGATCCGAATGGATCATAAACATTGGCGAATGCACTGTACGCACATACAAACACATACACACACACACGCACGCACACACACGCAAACACACATGCGTATATATATAAACAATCATGATGAAATTATGAATTAATAAGATCACAAGAGGTATTAACAATAATAATAATAATAATAATAATAATAATAATAATAATAATAATAATAATAATAATAATAATGATGATAATAATAATAATAATAATGATAATAATAATAATAATAATGATAATAATAATAATAATAATGATAATAATAATAATAATAATGATAATAATAATAATGATAATAATAATAATAATAATAATAATAATAATAATGATAATAATAATGATAATAGTAATAATAATAATAATAATAATAAATAAAAACGTCATCATTAAAATCATAATGAGAATGATAAAATCAGTGGTAAAATCAATGATGATGATGATGATGATGATGAAAATGATGATGATGATGATGGTGGTGGTGGTGGCGATGATGATGATAATGATGATGACGATAATGTCGGCATTGAAATGAGAATAGTTAATTTGAAATTTTTTAAACGACATCATTTATAGAGGAAAGACTAACAAAAAAACAGACGATGATGATGACGA